ATTATTTATCGCCTGAGATAAACCAATTACTGCAAGATGTGTTAAAAGTAAAAACAGCCTCTCAGCAGGAATTCCACAGCAAGACTAACTGTGTCCAGCTTCGTTCTGATAAGCTGCTTTCTGGTGCTGAGACTGGGAGTGCAGCCTGCGTGTGTTTGAAAGGCTCTGCAACTGTGTGTGGTTTTCAGAGGCCTCCACCTAATGTACGCTTCCCTTTATGTAGGAGAGAGTTCAACACAAGATGTAGCACAAATGAAGGTACATGTTGTGGGAGAGAAAGACAGACACCCAAAACATCACTTGATTCACAGGATGTGGACAAATTATCCAGAACTCCAGGTGTTGGTGCATTGCTAAAAACTCCTACAGATGAGTTTACACAGCAGGTAGTAAAAGATAAAGTACTGTCTGCAACTCAAAATCCTAGCAGCTTTTCACCAGTTTTGCCTGTTCTTCAGGAACAAAAGAAAGCCCTTTTTGTTCAGTCCCTTCCGTCACGATTTTTCGTTCCTTTCCACCTTTCTAACCAATCTAGGCAGCAGATGGTGTCAGGAAAATCTCTTCCATCAACCAGTTCATCAGATGTTACTAAAGGTGTACCTGCATCTTGTGTTTCAAACAAAGGACCTGGAATGATTTTGACTTTCAGTGGGGCAGTTGGAACAGTTGCAAATGCCGCTAATGATAGTTCTCAGGTTTTAGGGGGAGTTGCATCCAGAGAATTTGGGAAAATACCAGCTTCAGAAGTGAAGGGGAAAAATGGCAATTTTAGAAATTTAAGAAGTTCCTGTAATGAGGAAGTATGTGGTACAGTAAATGACTGTATGCCATTCAAAGCACCTCTTGTAGTTCCAAACTCATCAGAGTCGTCTGTGAAGGCAACTTCTTCTGTGAAGGTGTTACCAGAGCACCAGGATGCTGCCTTTGGGTCTTTGGAGTCAGTAAAACAACAGGAAATTAAACAGGAACAACACGTTTATGCACTTTCGCCTGATGGACAGCAGGGAGTTTTTCTGAAATGTTTGACACCAAACAAGCCTGTAGTTCATAAACCAATTTTTTTTCAGGATAATGCTCATCAGAATTGTCAACCAAAGAAAACTGGAGCCATGCAACAACAGCCTTTGCTGAAAATAAGAACTCGTACTTCAGATACACTGTCTGATAACACTCAGTCAGTAAGGAACTCAGTGCCCTCACTACAGGTGGATAACTTGCAGTCCCTTACTCCTGCACTAGCACAGAAACCAACTAATCTTAGTTTTAATGATGCCTTAAACTTCCCAGGTGGGTTAATGCCAGCAAATGCCTCTTTGGCAAGCTCTAATCCAGCATGTCGTGTTCCTCCTGTAGAACCTGTTTATTCTGCTAAATCTGCAGGGATGCGGTTGCAGAAATGTTCTATCGAGAGTATGCAAGTAATAGCTGCTAACAAGAGGAATAACTCTGGTTGTCAAAAGTCCACATGGAGCACCCAAAACAGAACTGCAAAAATAAAACCCGGTTTAAAACAAGCTGGATCTAAAAGTTCGGGAGCTGTGGGTGGGCAAAGAAACAAGAATTTCAAACGTAAAAGGAAGGCTAGTTGCCCAGAACCTCCTAGAAAGAAAGCAATGTTGCACAGAAAGTGTAAAGAAAAGAATCAAAATGAAATTGTTAGTGAATCGAGTAGCCCTTACGAACCAGGGGCATCAAAAAAAACTGTAAGGACTTTGAAATTACTCCCTTTTAATTCTAACCAGCTTGTAAAATGCCCTCGGAGAAATCAACCAGTTGTTGTGCTAAACCATCCTGATGCAGATGTTCCAGAAGTTGTAAATGTAATGAAAACTATTGCTAAATTCAAGGGACATGTTCTTAAGGTTTTATTGTCAAAAAGAACCGTTGAAGCTCTTCTGCAACCAGACTTCCGCAATCCTTCGGATGTAACTACTGATAATTTTTCTCAGAAAAGATACAGGACAATAAAACCCCTTAACCCTGTAAAAGAAAGATTTGTCTTAAAATTGACACTGAAAAAGACTAGCAAAAACAATTACCAGATTGTGAAAACTACCTCCAATAATACCTTGAAAGCTAAGTTTAGCTGCTGGTTTTGTGGTAGAATATTTGACAATCAGGATAATTGGGTAGGACATGGACAGAGGCATCTGATGGAGGCTACTCGAGATTGGAATTCATTAATGAAATGATGACCAGTGAAGAAAATAGTCATTAAAGTTTAAAAAAGCACCCCAGCTGGATTAGGATACACAAGTCATTCTGTTTTCTATGTCAGTATTGTAACTGAGGTTGAAAAAGTATGCAAAGTTCTTGTGTTATAAAAGAAAGAGTGTATTCCCTATTGCCATCAGATTGGAGAAAGATCAAAGAACGTTGTGGTTTAAATAACTTGTAACTAACTGCAAATACAATTCCATGAAAATATATATTATTTTTATTACTGCTATCGTGCTATATTTTTATTCTATAGAATAAGTCTTCAGGGCCTTTGTTCTGTACATACTTAAAATCCCTAAACATGTAAATATTTTTATACTTTTCAAGTTACTTGCACAGAAATTACATCCTTCCCCCCAGTTTTTCAGTTCTGTGCATGCACTACTAAAACCAATTTTTAAAATATTTTCAAAAATACACAGCTGTTATCCTGGGAGTTTTGTTATTTTCACTTATTAGCTCTTGATTTTGTTTTTCAGGGATTGAACACTATTATTAGCAAGTGCCTCAAAGATGTGAAGCAGTTTACATTATGTTGACTGTGTAACTTTGGGTCTGTATAGGGCCATTCCCCCACAGTTTGATTTAAACAAAGCCATATGTGAATGCTTTAAGCTATATTGCTATGCACATGACACTTGTACTATTTCTGTGCAGTTTGTCTACTTTCTTAGTGAAGTATTTTTCATATAAATTAATAAAACATATGATTGTGTTAATACGGTGAGTCAGAATGAAATCAATTGAAAATATACAGTATATATATTCATAATGTATATGGTGTTTAAGAATGGTGAACATTCCTAATCTGTATTGATTTTGTCACTATTAAAGTTGCTATAACTTGTGTTTACAGCATATGACTTTGAGCATTTATAGAAAATGTTCCTATCTTGTTATGTCTGCCACAAACCCTAAAGGGATGGTCAGGACATGGGGAGGTGCAGAGCACCCTTTTAGGCTTGTAATTGCTTCCTAGCTTTATTTCAGGTGGATGTAATTTGTCCCCATAATGACTTGATGTTTTCTACTGTTGCTTATTCAGATATACTGCCTTTTGGGGCACCAGGGATTTGGCTAAACCAAGGCTTGAGTTGTTATTCCCATATTTTATCAGCTGGAAGTGTAACGTTCTTAGCGGCCTGCTTGCTTGCTACTTTCAGTTTTAGAGATACTGAAGGGAGAGACTATGCTTTACAGTTTTTAGTCTTTATACAAGGGCACGTCAGCAAAAGACCTCTTAACCCTAGTGACTGAGGGTATACAGATGAAGGTTGTTATTACTTGTTATCCACAGTAATAATGTCACGAGGCTTTGTCCTGCAGGTTCTTCATGAACCTCTGTAGGCTCGAAGTTTCAGTCTAATGTGGGACTGCTCTTACCATATGGCTGGCACCTTTTGCCCAAGTATGAAGGTGTAAGCCAGCTTCATAAAGTATTGATGGAAAAGCTGTCAAAATGGAACAGTAGGCTTGGAGAGGACTGGGGCATTTAAATCCTGGGGTTTAGATTGTACGCAAGCCCAAGGAGTTTTCTGTTACTGGTGAAAATGAAGGTTGCTTGCTACCAGTGAAACAGTAAGAAGTCATGGATGTCACAGGCATGTCACCACTAACCTGAATTCAACTTATGTTTTAAAAAGTGTTCAGATTACTTAAAAACAATTGCTTCAGTGATTAGATAAATTTTTCTTTCCTGATTTGTGTGTTGGCAGGAAGATGCACACTAGCCTTGCATCTGGTGAGTTATGTATGGAAGACCAGTGAAGCAGTCAAGGCAGCATCCTTTGGGTGAATTAATACACAGTTGGCATGTGTTGTGTATCTAAACTGAATCATTTTGCACTGCACAATGGACTTGAGCTCTGATGTTAATTTAGCTAGGAACTTTGAAGAAGACCAGTGTAGTGGTGAGGAAGCAGGTTGGAAAGAAACAGTGTTAGGAAAGGACAAAAACATGTTAAGCTTTTTTGACTACAAGGATCTATTGTCTGCCTCTGCTTGCTCTTCTGTAAACTCTGAAATTGAACTCACAAATTTTGGACATTGCCTTTGCCTTCTTTGGAAAAAATATATGTGAAGTTTGTTTCTAAACCTACTTGGTGCAATTTCAGTGAGGATGACCAGTCTTTATTAACAATTACTTAGCATTGAGGTGTAAGTTCTGCTGTAGCATTAGGGGGTTTTCTCTGTATTGATGAAGCATGAGAGTGACAACTGTCATTGGAATTTTTTTCCTAACTTGTTTATTTTTGTATGAATTGACCATAAATGGTACTGTGAAAACATTGTAAAGCTGGGAAATGTTGAAATAAGGCTGCTTTATACAATCTTAATCAATTGTCATGTGTCACTTTTTCCATGGACATCCATCTCATTCAGTGCAGAGAATTTTTGCTTCCTCCTGGGTAGCAATTCAGTATTTTGTTTCCCCACCCTTAATTAGGTCCTCATATTATTTAGTGCAGGTTGCTCGAGTACTGTTCCAAATATATAATTTTATTCTTACAACCTTTTTCATAGTGCATTGTTTGAGGTTCTTAGAGTTTGGCATTTCTGCAGATCAGGTTTCAGAAAAACTCAGGTGGGCCTTCACTGAAATTAAGATCACAATTAATTACCATCAGGAGAAAATTAGATTGAAGTGATCTGCCCTGTGTTGCAGTATCTGGTGTGGTAGAAGATGCAGGGAAGATATGTTCACTTCTTCAGTTCAGCTACTTTAATTGTGTGAAGCCACCTTTTTACTGGCTGACTTCTGCAATGTTGGTGCATTTACTGGCTGACTTCTGCAATGTTGGTGCATTTCTCAGCATTTTCAGTAAAGGGGGAAAGGTATGCTACAAATATCCTACAAACCACAGTTTTTCATTATACAGCTACAATTTATCCCTGAAGTATTGCATGAACCGAGTGAAACATAGTCCCTGTGGAAAAATATTCACTGATTGTATATCTAATGCTTGTATTGTAATGGATATAGCTGATGTGACAAGGTTGCACAGGTAACTTGAATTATCTTGATTTTGAGTGCTTTACTATGCCACCATAACATTTTAATAGTTTGTAACATTGCAAATAGCAAGATAAACCTTAAATTGATTTTATTGTTTTGGGACATACAAAGAGAGGTGCAAGCACAAGGTTATCAACTATTTGTACAAACTTGAAGAGGCCTAAAATCGATCCCATTATGTGTTCTTGGCAAGATGTGCATTCATCAGTAAGTCATGGTGCCCTTCCTCAGTAATTCCAGTGTTTTAACAAAAAATTGTTACAGAGCTGTTATTACGTGACACACCTTTATGTTGTTATGTGACACGCTTTTTTTTTCCTAACAATGCTTCTAATAATCTCTTTTTGCTGCTGCTGCTGCTTTTGATTGAAGGAAGAATGGAGTTTTGTACCTTGTGTCTTTGAACACTTGGATTTTTGAGAATGCAGGTTCTTATTCCTTTCATGGAGCAGCATTGTCAGGAATGATATGCAGTACTCATTGTACTCTCTGTATCAGGTAGGCAGACAACATTTCTCCTTTGTGTATTATTAAATATGACACTTGCCCTGAGTTCTCAGACAAAAGAATTCATTTTTAGTTCTTGGTTTACGGGTTGTTTGTGAGTGTGTGGTTTTTTGGTGTGAGGTTTTGGGGGTTTTTTGGTTTTTGTTTTAACTATTCAGTGAATGATATATTATATGAAAGGGAAGTCAGCAAACAGTATCACAATATCAAAGAAAGAGGAGGGGAGGGGTGTGTTGCTGTGTCTCAGGTCAGACTTGATATACCTGTTAGCTGGAGATGACTGCTGGCACTGCAACAGCCACACCAAGTCACCATTTCCTGCATTCTGTAATGGCTTTGCAGCCCACAGCACTGGGATTTTGAACTCAGCAGGCTTCATCCTGAGTGCCAATTTATTCTGTGTCCAGAATGTAGGAGATGGTAGCTTGGTGCAATACCTGAAACTTGCTTAAACCTTCTCCGGATAAAACTTTGTTTCGTGGTATGTCTGCACCAAAGCCCTGCCAAACTAGAACAGATCTAGCTGGAGTATGGAAAACACAGTAACCAGTCTGGTGCCTTTGTTCCTGTACAAAACACCAAGTGTAGTAAAGTAGGTGATAATGTGCTGGTGTGTTTTGTGTGTTTGTTGGGGGAGGCTCCCCCAACGAGCCTTATTTTGCCTAAATAGTGCCTAAAAAGTTCTCATTTCAGGCTGATTGGATTATTTTGTGGAAGGTTGTGTTACCTATCAGCTCCCTGCCTTGTTTTGTTGTCCTAACTATAAGGTAGCCCTATAATCGTGTAGAACATGGATAAAAAGTAAATTAAGGTTTGAGGATGAAGGTAACTGGCCCCTTTATCTAGAGCAATTTGTTATTTGTAGGTCAACCACAATATTCTATGTAGTGCTGAGCACTTAGAGCTGAGGGGCAGGAACAGCAGTGTTTTAAAGTGCTCAGTGCTAATTACCTTTTAAAAAAGTGATATTTAGTCCCTGTTATGAAATATACACACTTGAACTTCCCTTGTTCATGCTATTTTTTCCCCCTCAGTCCTACAATGATGGAGATACTGCACACTTAACTTGGAAAGAATGAAGAGTCTAGAGATTTTGAGGGGCAACACAGAAAGGTTGGCAGACAGACAGTACCAAGTTGAAATACTGTGCAGTACATGATTGAAAGGCAAGGACTACGTGAATGCAGAGGAAGTTAAATACTCAGTGGCTACTTTTTTCAGAGTACTTCCATTGGGAGTATTGCTTGAAATAGCTTCTAAAGTGATACTTAAATTAGCTAAATAATATAATAGTACCTATATAGAAAGAGGAAATGAAGCTTGCAGACACTATTAACTTGTGTTTTTACACCTTGACTTGGTAATCTTAACGTTCTAAACATTTCAGTAGTATTAGGCATAGTGTTAAATATAAAATACCAACTGAGCAATATACTAAACACAGCCTTTAGGTAGTACTGTGATGGTCTGTCGTAGGTAGGTGTGTGTAGTCTGTGTACGTTGTTTCTTATTTGCCAGTGTGTTATCCCATCACATTTGGGTAAGCGTTGCCTGTGTTGCAGAGGGAAGAAGCTGACCTGCCTCAAGGCATGTAGGTAGCCATGTGCTGAGCACCCTGCTGGCATACAGTTCTTTCTAGGAGACTGCTGCATGACTTTTAGAAGTATCTGATCAAAAGCACAAGAAAGTATTTGCAGAATTCAGCCACCCTATGGCCCTAAGTGACTTGCTGAGACTTTGCAGGTCTTGACTCAGTCTCGCCTTTAATGCCTTGAATATAATCCTGGAGAACACTGCTTTATATGGAACAAAAAGAATGAACTGAGTGTGTATAATATGTCAGTTTTGGAAAATACCTTTAAGATGGATCAGTCTTCAGGTCCAGTGAAATCAAACACTGCTAGAACTAGTTAACAATTGCTCCTAAAAGTTTTTCATTGATGCAATTTCTACATTCATCAAATTAATTTTTACCACTTGAATATTTGTGGAAGTTTACTTTTTCCACAAAATTACAGTAATCACAGTATCCAGTAATCACAGTAACCACTGTGATAGAACAGGCTATCACATAAAAAAGTGTTTTTTTCCCTGTGTGTGTCTCCATGAACAGTAATTCAGCAAGAAGTGAGTAATTTAGCAATGATGCAGTGTGCCTGGGTCATCAGCAGTAGGCAATTTGAAGACAAAATATTTGAGAGTCATTAAGCCAAATTGTGTGTGTAATATATATATATACACACATGAGATAAAGTTGTAAAAAGTGATGCTTTTTCATAACATTGTGAAGGAGCACATACAAATATATACATTAAAACATCAACACTAGCGATGCTTTCTTGCTGGAAGGGTGTCAGAAATGCAGTCCAGCAAAGTCTCCATACACTACTGAGTTTACAGTATATTTAAATTTTATTTTTACATTTGAAAATACAAACAAAAATATCAGTGAAACAGGGTGAAGCTGACGGAAAGTACAACACATGTCCATAAATCTAAAACATTCAGGTGGATTTATTACCACTAATCAAAGTCCAGTCCTATTTTCAACTTGTGCACAGTGGTACATTAGGTCAAGTTGCTCTAATTTCTGGGGCTGTGCACTTTACAAAGAAATTGCTGAAAGCAGTGATATGTGGTAAATATAAATTGAAAGAATAGATCACTGTGGGTATTCTCATTTTTAAAATGAAAATGTCCTTCAAGAAATCTGTCCTCAAACAGCAGTCAGAGGCTGTGGTATGCAGCTGTTCTTCCCATGACTGGATACCCGTGTTGTCACAGATGACAGTGTGTCTGCTTTGGCTTCTTGTGTTAAACTTTCCTGATCAAAGTGACGTGGGGTTGAACTCTATGAAATGCATTTCTTACTACTCTGTAGGTGCTCTTGAAGAGTGTTTCCCATCATTTTGGATTTTCTTCTTTTAATACCTTGTCCATGTCTCAGTATGTAGAAAGAAATTATTAAAGAGGTCTTCATTTCAGCAGTTCAGTTTGATTAAGAAACTCTTACAATATATTTCAGTTTTGTTGAGTCTTTTGTGTTGTTTTGGCTGTCAATTAGAACCAGGGAGGTGCGCTGATGATTCTCTACTATTTCAGCAACACTGTCAAAGCGCTGGAAAAAGAAAACAAAAAATAATTAGTGCTGGCTTCCTTTATACTATAATATTGACAAGTAATCACTGCATCTTTTTATCTTTGCTTCTCATCTAATTGAAGAGAGTTAAGCTACCTGTTACCAAGTTAGACACTTTGCCTTTTAGTGAGAGCACTGATCCTTCTCTTAGGTCTGATTTTAGTCATAAACAGATTAGATTTAGACAACAGAAGATATTACAGGCACCAGCTGTCCCCTCCTCTCCATTTGTGATTGCCACTGAGTTTGCTGTGGGCCATAGTGAACTGACATTTCATTTTCCCTTAATGTACAGTAGGCTGCAGACTGGCTGCTCAGCAGCTGTGGCAGATGTGGTTCAGCCACCTCAGAGGGAAGGCTGTGTCCAGGAGTAACAGGTACAGGCAACCATCTATGAGACCTGTTCTAGTTACACAGTTTTAATGTTTGTCACTGTAAATTAGTATCCAGAAACCGCTAGGGCTGTTGCTTTTCTTTTTGGACTTTGGTCAAATAAAGACTTTGGACTAGCTATTTATCCTGAGGTAATTTTTCACCCTTTGTTGAAGACCACGTGAGCTCCAGGCTATTATATTTCCTCTGATTTCAAAACTGGTGCCTGGAAGGCAGATAATTAGGCTATGTCAAGCCTACTTTCACACTGCTGAAAAGCCTACTCTATGCAGTGATGAACTGTTTTCATTGCTATTTGTGTTCCAAGTTTCTGTTTTGCTATCAGAGTAATGATCTCCGTGGCAGTGTAGATAACCAGTGATCTTTTCACTCCAGAGCTAAAGTTTAATATTTTCTTTATGTGAAAACAGAACTAACAGTAATGTCATTCTCATTTTTAGTAGTGTTGGAGGGTTTTGTTTCTTGAGCATGGCTGTTCTTCCTTTGCAATTTTCCAAGAAACATAACTACAGTTTTAGATAGAAAGTAAGTGGAGGACTGTAAACAGTCAGAAAATTTATCTAGTGGCTGCAGCTCTTATCCTTTTAACTTTATGAGTATGTTTCAAATTTGGTCTGTGGTTTTAGTTACAGTGTACAGGAGCTGTTATAACACTGGTTTCTCTAGCTTGAAAGATTGGTCATTATGAAGGGTATATTTTTGTCTTCATACATGAGGAATCTTTGTGGTCACAGTGCAATAGATCTTAGTCCTTGCTTATTAAAGGTATATAACTGAAAACTGTTAGGAAAAATACCCCCACATCATCTCACCTCTTCACCACTTTTTTCTCTGCCCAGTGCATATTGCCTTGTGGATTCAATGAATCGTATCGGGATGTTGTACACTCTTCTGTTGTAAAACACAACCAGTGTATATGGCTGCCGTGAGTCCTGCCCAGAACTCTTCCTTATTAGAAAAGATCCATCCTAAAGAGAGAAAAGCAGTCAGTGTATTTGGCTCATTTCTTTCCAACAATTAAGTCTTCTTCTGGCTTTTATTTTGATTTATATTCACATTGAACCCATTTTCCCATTAGAAAAATAACAGCAGCAGATGAGAAGTAGCATGTATTCCTGCTAACAGTAGCTTGCAAAGGTGGCATTTAGGAATCAGCTTTGTTGCTGCCTGTTGTCTCTCTCAACCAGAGAGAAAATGAAGAAATAAATACACAGTGGCAGCCATCTGTTGGGATCCACAGACTATTAGGGAATAGTTTCCATCAGTGGCAGTAGGTAGGGAAGGAAGCAGGGAGAGGTGGAGACACCATTTCTCCAGAGCTGTAAAAAGGAGCTCACCACAGTCAAGCACCTGCACTCCTGACTATGTAGCCCTGTGCTCACTAACTCACAGTAGCCTTCACCTGGTGACTGCCCTGTTCTCTGCCCCTTTATCCTCTGTGGACTTAGGCAAGAGTGGAAATGTACTTGATGCTGAGGATGCAACTGTACATGCTCCTCTTTCCTCCTGTGACACTGGATTTTGCACAAAGAACAGTTGAGAGAATTCCAATTCTCCAAACACCTAAATGCCAAGTGTTGCTATTTCAAAAGGCATAGCAACACCAGCCTTTCCAAATAGCTGTTTCCACATCAGCCACTGGACAGTGGTGGAGACCACTTAAAGGCCACTGGGCTTTGCATTTCTTTTAAGGGGGTGTGCATGAGCATGTGCAAGATCTTCCTCAGCTCTCTAGTAGCTTTCTCTGCAGTACTTTGGTCTTTGAGTTGCACTAATGCAACTCTGTGTTGCAATGAAAGCCAGCATTAATTAATGTCACCACAATAACTCCAGGTTTGACAGTACTTGCATGGCACAGCAGTTCTGACCTGTTCAGAAGGCAACTGATGCTCTTTGAATACTTCTGGTTGTCTTTTAAAAATTTTTTTATGTGAAGTTCTGGGGTTTTTCCCCGTAAAATAGATATTCTTTATAAGTGACCTACCTTGTTTGATCGGTACAATGCATCTTCTGCCATTTTCCTATCACAGGTAGCAGCATACCATGCTTTGCTGTGGACACCAGCATCCTAAAAAGAGAGGAACAGTGTTTCACCTGTAAAATAATAATAATAATAAAGAATATGGCCTGTAGGGGAGTTATTGCTAAACAGCGACGGCTATGAAGAACTAAAATGCAGAAAACTCAAGAGTTTAAAAAAGTCTGCCAGGAGTTCACAGTTTTAGTTGAGTAGAGGAAGGGCAAAGAAAAACTGGGAGTGTCAAAACAGCAGTAACAGATTTGTGATAGAAGGCTGATAAATGACAAAAGAGAGACGCCCTGAGGAAAGCAGTCAGGTTCAACTGTAGGATCGTTCTAAAGACAAAAGCTATTCCAGTAGAATTTAAAGAGGAACAAATTGTCGAGGAATGTTGAGGAATAATGCTCTTTGTGAACACAATCATCCCTGTCTCCACATGGACAGCATGATGCCTGGGTAAGTTTTGCTCCAGCTTTACAGTAACAAGTTTAATGATAAAATTAATTTTCACACAAGCTTTGTCACCTCTGTACAAAACAGATGAAAGGTTGCACATTATAACTGAGCTGGTCTAGCTGACTTATGGCTGCCAGAAAGGGAATGTCTTGGCTTCTCCTTTGTGCTCATTTTGTTGCTCATCTGATCCCATGGTGAGATAATTCACTTTATTAAACTAGTAGAAAAAAACCCAAAAAACTTTCCTTTTTGTTTTGCCTTTTTTGTGTTTGACTGCCAAGCTGATTTTCTGTCAGTTTAATGACTTGGCTCAACCCACTGCAGGATCAGGAAGGAGCACCACAGAAGCTGGGAGGGGAGCTGACAGTGAGGAAAGAGCAGAGCCTCAATTTTGGGGGCATTGTACTAAATTCTTAGACTGGCTCAAGCCATAACATATAATTTTACCTTCAAAATTTTTCCATTTATTTCTCCACTCACACTATTCATTGGAAAAATAAAATGCTGAGAGGAATTGCAAATATGAAAGGTACTTGCCCACATAGAAAATGAGTCCAGTGAACAAATCTTTGTTCAACAAAAGAAGGAATTAATGCCCTCCAGACTTTTCTTTTACCACTATCTGTGGCCTGTAGTGTAGAAGCAGAGAGCTGCTGCCAAAGTTTGGATGGGAACCAAGCAAACAGTGAATGTTGTGGGAATTAATGACATAATTAATTGTCATTAATCTGTGAGCTTCTGTATTGTGGAGGATGCTACAGCAAATGATACCACTGTATATAATTGCTGGGAAAATAACATTAACAGCTAAGTTTTTTTAAACAAAATGGATATTTTATTAAGTTCTGTTTCTGCCCAGGGCTTTTACATAAAAATTGCAAATGTAACTGCTATAAGCTGTTTATGTAGAGTGTTCTGGATTGCTTATTTCAAAGTAATTTTTATAATAAATATCTAGTATTACATACAGTTAAAATTTTTCCAGAACTTCAAATCCTTTGTGTTCTTCACTGTTGTATTATCTTTGTCATGTCAGAGTTTAGAACACTTACTGTTACTGGCTCTGCATGATAGAGCCTTTGGTTTACACTCAACAAAACTATTTTTACCTTGTTTGTGACTACTAGGTTTATAAGAATGGGTTTTTGCATTTTGTAGTCTCCCTTCATCCAAAATGAGAGTAAGGGGAATAGCAGTGAAATGAAAATAACCTTGCATTTGCTTAGATCATTCAAAGCTTAATGTTGCAACAAAACACATAAAAAAGAGAATTGGCCCTAAAACTGACAGCGTGAACTGTAATGAGATCTGTTTAAAGGAACAGGAGCTGGACTTGGGAGAGACTAAAACACAGAGGGGAGGCATCACAGCATCATTGTATTTGCTTACTGCACCTTTTTTTTCCTGTACACAATTTGTACAGCTATAAGTTAGAAAAAAAAAGTACGCGATTAAAAACTCTTGATAGCAATCTGTATCAAAGACTAGACTTAAGTACATCACCACAGATTTCCTTGTTTCAGTGATGTTGAAAGTAGGAACTGGAGAGTCAGGAAGACATGAAACCAAAGCTTTTTGTGATTGGTAGGGTGCCAAGATTTAATATAATAATGTTTACATATTTTTCTACAGTTTGTTAAACCTCTCCTATGCTAAGCTAATATTCAGATTATTTGTACTACAGAAAAGCCTCATTGCAAAAGAGGGCATAGAAGCCCTCCAGGAATGTAATTTTCTACTGAAAGGACGTGAAAATACTATTTTAAAATAAAGGATATTTCTGTAATATGAATTTAGCTAATACTATACCTGGTCTGCAGAACTTGAAACAGATGAAATGCTGCTGGGAGGGGAAGCACCCAAAGAACGGTTTACAGCTTCTGGGACTTCTAGAAAAGAGAAAGAACAACATGTATAAGTTTTCAAAGTATGTTTGTTATGATGTAAGAAATTGAATTGTTACAACAATTGAGTTGTTTGGAAGATCTGGAAACATTTGACCTTTGACATCTGTCAGGAAAGCTTTCTACTGGAAATAGATGGGGCCTGTGTAAGTGCTGGGACACTTGCTTGCCCAAGGGGTAGCCTTGCTTGTGAAGGAAAAACCAGTCTGGATAACAATTTGGTTACTAGCAGAACTACACCCAGAGTACAGGAAAAAACCTCTTCCACCACCAAAGTGAATCACTGTAGCAGTAGATGAGAAAATGCAGGAACTCGATGCAAGTAATTTTCAGTCCTGTGAGAAGCAGTCTTGCAGGTGAGCAAGTCAGGAAAATGAATTTATTTCAGAGATAATTTTTCACCAATTTAGATTGCCTGAATTGTTTGTATACATGTTCAAGAAGTCCAGGCAGCAAAATGGAGATGCAGAATTAATAGAAAACATTACGATGCTTAATTGGAATAACAAAGCATAGTTGAAAATAGTTACTAGGGCTGAAATACAGATGTAAGAGTTTAAGAAATCAGTAGTGAAATATTTGAGTAGTGTTGCATAGTAATGATATGATGAAAGAAGTATGGATTATTGCTTTCTGGTAAAAACTAATTTAGCCCAACAGTGTAGGTGTCTGCTATGGGTACTTGTGAACACAGCTGGATGTAAATCAATATACTAAAGAAGATCATTGTAGAAAGTTGAGTGATCCTTATTTTGTTATTATGGGAGGCTTTTTTTCCTGTGTGCTTTACTTATTAGGGAAAACAAAAGCTTCCCTTTCTGGGTAAGGTACTCTGCAGCCCGTAAATGTTAAATCTTCACTAATAAAATTCTGATTTAGATATTGGTTTAGAAAGCAATAGAATGTTATAGAGAAGACCATACAGTGACCAGAACTAAAAAAATGCAGTTGGACTGGGGACAAAGACAACTGTGTGAAGTACATTTAGAACTTCTTTGCAGTAAAGATGCAACTGTCTGGAAGCTGCATCCCAAGTGGAGGGGAGACATTATAGAGAGCAGTTCCAGCTCTCAATGAATTAGTAATCACCTGAAGAAGGCTGTTCAATATTATGGATTTTGGTTTTTCTGGCAAATTTTGACTGACTGGCTGTTAAAGCTACATCTGAAAATAGACTGTATTAATAAAGCAAGAACTGAGAGAAGTCAGATTAGTGAATTAGACTTGACAAAAGGATATTAAAATAAGTAATGAAAGATGCCTTGGCTGTGTGTAAAAAAGTAAAGAGAGAGGGAGCTTTATGCAATAAGAATTTTATTGATTTTAAAGATAATCTAGGAACTAAACAAATAGTAGTTGTGGCACAGAAATAGAAATTTCCACAATCAAACTGGAAGCAGAGCTTAAATAACATTAGTACAATTAAACTGATAGGCCCAGATTATCTTTACCTATGAAATTTTAAAAACTGGCACATGAAATTCAAGGGTGGTAACAGTTATTTTACGTAATTTTCAAGTCAGGATGGTACCAAATTACATAAAGAATTTTAAAGTTAAAGAATACCAAACATAATTGCTATACCTAAAGTGGAAAAAGTGACTTGAGCATCTACAGGGCTTTTTGCCTGATTCCACAGAACACAAGGCCCTAGGAGAGAATTCGAAGGAAATAACATCAAGATTTGGAAGTAAAGGTACAACTAGCAAGAGAAAATCTGAATTTTAGCCAAGTAGATAAAATGTTACAGCTCTTTCATAGAATAACAGAGTTCTCCAAAGAGGGGATGTGGCAGGGTACTTAATCTGGACTTCAGAAGAGCATTTGACACTCTGCCATATGGGAAAAAAGTACTTGTAATGATGAAGACAGAAGTTAGCTCTAGGCTTGTGTACAAAGAAGAGATGGCAGGTTATGCTCAAGGGACATCAGTGATTATGGGTGGTTTGTATTATAAAGTTGTTATTGGACCTGCCAATGAATAAGATTATGCTAAAGAAAGTTTACTAATCAGAGCATCATTTAGCACCAGATGGTCTTGAAGAATAGTTACAGTTCCAGGAGTAGTAAGAATTTATGCTTCCAGTTGAAGCACATCAGTTGTGTGATGGGAGCAGACAAACTTGAGTGCATCAGTCAAGAGCATTCATGTGAACCATGTATTAATGTGAACTTCCTCAGCACAGGAGATATAATTGCAACATGCATCAAGCAAATGTTTCCAGGAAAGAAATACACTAATAACAGCATGTCAGTTTAAGCTACACCAAATGTAGATTTATATGTGCCATTCTCACCATCTGTTTACAATATGAAAGATATGTTCAGACTGAATATGTACAGTAAAGGGCTTACAGGAAGGTCAGACAAGTGTCTGCTAGCAAGCAACTAGAAAAATGTTAAATCTAATTTACACTTCTGTACAAAGTGGGTTTATATACACATTACCTAATTTGTTTTTAGCTGTGAACTGAAACAAAGTGCATCTTGGAAAGCACTACTTAGAAAAGAGCTTCAGCAATTGCTATTACAAAAGTACTTTCTTTTTTCCTTCTGTAGAAAAAGAATAAATTGAATGTAATAATAATGTCTGTCTTGTAGGCAACAGAAGCGTGGAACAGCCCAAAAATGTCATATTTAGGATTCTTCTGTGACAAGGAAGATTGATGGAATCTTTATTATGATGGGAAATGACCCAAATTGCCTTTGCTAGAGATTTCCAGTATTCATAAATATAAATGAAGCACTCATTTTCCATCAATAATCCTGAGATACTCCCTTAATTTTACTAGCTGAACTAAGGTCTTGGATACTTGACCTCCTCTTTGTATGCATTACAGATACATTAACTGCAAACTAATTAATATGCAAGGTACTTTGAAATAATTTTAGTTCAAAGATTAATTTGAAATAACAAGTTAAGCACATTTTAATTCAAAAACTGAATTATACTTACTTGGCAGAATTGAGGGCTTTTGGAGCAGAGGCCTGAAATAAATGTTGAGAGATTACAGAAAGGTCTGAGGGGATGTGCCCAGTCCTGATAATATGAAAACTGAAAATATGCAGTGGTAGAATGTGTTCTATCTCACCCATGTATTCATTGAGAAACATGGGCCTGATACAGGTATTTTAAAAAATGATATCCCACTAGGAGGAATTTAAACATGTGTTTTAAATCTTGATTACTTTAGTACACGTTATATCTTCACATGCTTTTTGGTGATGGTTAAAGCATTTGTATGCATTCATTTGCCATGTTGTATTTTTTGCCACTGTGAGGCTTCAGGAATCTCAGCTCTGAGGAAGGAACAAGGAGGCTCCAGTGAAAAGAGTGCTCCCCTTTGAGCCTCTCACAGCTCACTGCAATATTCCCAAGAGGAGGGAAAGGGACCTTACTTTTGGGCACCACTTGGAAGGGGGGGAAGTGGAAGTTCCTGGCTGGAATTGCGCCGTCGGTCTGGTACCGTAGGTTTTTCTGGAGTTTGGGAAAACAAACGGTAGAGTCAGAATTTCTTCAGAAGTATATTATCCCAGGTTAGGGAGTCCCAGTAGGTGAGGGAGGGTTTCTTTTACTATAAATTTGGCTTTTTTTCTGACACGGCAGCCTGCCATTGCGCTGCTGTTAACTAACTCTAGGCAATACCTGTGCTGTGGATGCCTGTGGAGCTGGGTGGGACTCTGACACAGGGGGAGGAGGGCAGCCAGCCCTGAGGAGGCAGCAGCTCCTGCTGGAGCCGCCTCGCCCAGACACAGA